CCATCACCATCATCACCAGTATCATCATCATCTCCATCATCTCCATCATCTTCGTCATCACTATCATCCCCACCTCCATAAAACCACCATTGCCATCAGTATCATGCTGGCAAACTATGAAACGTATCTCCCACTTTTAAAAAAGATTTTATTTGTTTGAGAGGGAGAGAGAGCACGAGCAGGGGGAGGGACATAGGGAGAAGCAGATTCCCCACCAAGCAGGGAGCCCAATGTAGGGCTCGAACCCAGGACTCCAGGATCACAACCTGAGCTGAAGACAAGACACAAACTGACTGAGCCACACAGGCACCCCTGTATCTCCCACTTTTATGTCTTCTTCTACTCTTTGCATGTTCATGATAGCATAGAAACCTATGCCCCAAAAGGCAGTTTAATTAGAGGAATAAATCTCTCTGCTAGATGAAGCAGATGTGTGTGAATTTCATTCTTAAAAGAAAAAATATATAAAATGACGGTAAACTGGCATGACCCCAGAAATACAGCTATTATGACATTACAATGATTATTCACTCATTCCACTCAGAAATCAGAGTCTATAAAGAACAGAGAAAGAGAGCTGCACTTCTTTTCTCCAGAGCTCCGTAGTTCAAAAAGCACAGCAAATGTGAAACTTACAGTTGTCTCTGTGTCTGGGAGGTTCTTGAAAGCGTAGCACTGTCAGAATCATGAACAGGATACATGGCCAAAAGAATTCAGCAAGAGAAAGGACCTGCAGAAGATGTTAAAAAAAAAAAAAAAGTCAGAGCTTGAGTAAATTGCAAATTATGGCAGTATCCCCCTCTCCTGCAGGATGGCACGCTGGCCAGGTAAGGCCTCCTTTAAAGGAGGCCATCGTCATCCCAATGGTGCATCTCTGAGAACAGTCATTTGAGAGCCCGCAGAAGGGGCCCAGTTCATTCGTCACCACATCCAGACCCATGACAGTTACCTCCTTATAGTTCTCCCAAAAGGCACGTCTTCCACGTCTTTCTTCTTTCCCTACATTCCTATTTATGACAAGACCTCATGGCATTAAAGAAATTAAATAAGTAACTTCATTCATACTACTCACATTCCAACAAATTAACTTTTTTTCTTTCCTTTTTTTTTTTTTTTAAGTGGGCTCCACGCTGGGCCCAACATGGGGCTTGAGCTCACAACCCTGAGATCAAGACCTGAACTGAGATCAAGAATCAGACACACAACTGACGGAGCCACTGAAGTACCCAACATTTTTCTAATTTCTTGAACATGCCTGACTTTTCCATCCAAATAGACATTTTCCCAGAGATGGCGGTGGCACACACACTTTCTTTTATGAGTATTTTCCTTTGATTTTTTGTAAGATTCTTATTCATTTATTTATTTGAAAGAGAGAGAGAGAGCTCAAGCAGAGGGAGGAGCAGCAGGAGAGGGAGAAGCAGACTCCCCCCTGAGCAGGGAGCCCAGCACGGGACTCAATCTCATGACCCCGAGATCATGACCTGAGCTGAAATTAAGAGTCAGACATCAACCTACTGTGCCACTCAGGTGCCCCTTCTGAGTGTTTTCTAGTGTTGCCACACAAGGTTCATAACTAACATCTTACTGGTTGCATAACCTTCTTACCAAATGGGTATACTGTAAGTCACATTCTCCCACCAGCAAATATTTTTTTATCAGTAATTTTTCTTTTGAATCATTTTCTCGAGATTGGAACAAATTCGTAAAATTCAGATTATTGGAGTCAAATCTTTTCACATAGATAACAAAAGAGCTATAGATAAGGGGCCACCTGGGTGGCTCAGTCAGTTGGGCATCTGCCTTTGGCTCAGGTCATGATCCCAGGGTCCTGGGATTGAGTTCCGTGTTGGGCTCCCTGCTCAGAGAAAAGCCTGCTTCTCCCTCTCCCACCGCCTGCCACTCCCCCTGCTTGTACTCTCTCTCTGTCCAATAAATAAATAAAATCTTTTTTTAAAAAGGAGCTACAGATAAGGATTGCAATAATTTGCATAGCCTTGAATCTTAAAAGAAAAAAAAAAATCCACACAAGGACTAGCCATTGATACATGGAATTTATTTAAGAAAGAAACATCCAAGGTATAACCCAGTGAAAAACTAATTAAGAGAAAATTCCTCGGGGTGCCCGGGTGGCTCAATTGGTTAAGCGACTGCCTTCGGCTCAGGTCATGATCCTGGAGTCCTGGGATCGAGTCCCGTGTCGGACTCCCTGCTCGGCAGGGAGCCTGCTTTTCTCGCTGACCTCTCTCCTCTCATTCTCTCTCTCTCTTTCAAATAAATAAATAAAGTCTTTTTTAAAAAGAGAGAGAAGATCCTCAATTATCACCAGATTATTCTGACTGTCATCATTCTTCCTTTGATTTTATGCTGGATAATGTTCTCCTGCAGACTTCCTCTCCTGTCCTTCCACAAACACAGAAGTGTATAACCAGACACAAAACAGGTGAGGCATCCAATAATGCATGAACAAAAACTTAACATCTGCAGGTTAGGAGGTTAAGGATGCTCAGTCGAACAGTAAAGAGGGTCATTTCAAACATGAAGCTATGTGCTATGGTGAGTGCTGTGAAGTGTGTAAACCTGGCGATTCACAGACCTGTACCCCTGGGGATAAAAATATATTATATGTTTACAAAAAATAAAATTTAAAAAAAAATAAAAAACAAAAAATAATTAAAAAAAAAAACATGAAGCTATAACGCTTTGAGCCAAAATGAACTTCTCATCTCTTCGGTTCCTTTGCTCTCCGAACAGCCTGTCCCAATTCCTCCCTCCAAGGAAACAACCTCTAATTGCATCCAGGTTGGGTGTGTGAGGCCAGAAGCCATTAAGACAAAACACAGGTGGAAAAGGTTTCAATCCCTACTGTAATTAAAGAAAAAAAGAGGGACCCACTGGGTGGCTCAGTCAGTTAAGCGTTTGCTTTTGGCTCAGGTCATGATCCCAATGTCCTGGGATCGAGTCCCACATCGGGCTCTCTGCTCAGAGTCTGCTTCTCCCGATCCCTCTGCCCCTCCCCGCTACTTGCGCTCCCTCTCTATCACTCTCTCAAATAAATAAATAAAATCTTTAAAATAAAAAATAAATAAATGAAAAAGAAGAAAAGAAATCATCATCTTTGAAACAGTTCCTGAAGTAATACTCCTCATGCCAGAAAGTGTGTCATTACGCAAAGTTTCTGACCAATTACTGATTTCAGTATCATAGTCCTGAGAACAGGGAAATCATCTGCAGGAGGCCACCCTCTGACTCAAAGGATGGTAATTACGCCAGAAGAGAGGTCAAGAGCATTCAGAAGCCCCCAGATCGTTAAGGTCGCCTTATTCATTCTCTGTTAACAAATAATCCTTTCCTGAAGTCTGGGAGTAGAGCTGTGGTGGGGGAGGATTTCCTGATTAACTCTGGCTGAATACAGGTGTGCAAAGCAGAAAACGTCCCCAAATTCAACAATGACTGGAGAGCATTAAGAAGGATAAATACATAATGAATTTTGGGGAGGTTTAAAATTTTTTTAATGACATATGAAAGCCATTTTTTTTAGACAGAGAGGTAGAAAGAAAACAGAAAATGGTTTGGACCCAACAGCCCTATAACAACTTCTGATGTTATACATAATTACATACATGCTTGGTTAGGAAATTCAAAAAGTACAGAAAGAATACAACCATTCTCCCAAAGGATAAATTCTCTGAACAGTTTCCTGAATTCTTTTTTAAAAACCTATATCAGCAGGGCACCTGGGGGGTGCGGTCAGCTAACCATCCAGCTCTTGGTTTTGGCTCAGGTGGTGATCGCGGGGTGGTGGGATCGAGCCCCACGTCAGGCTCCACACTCAGTGCAGAGCCTGCTTGGGATTCTCTCTCCATCTCCCTCTGCCCCTCCCCCTTGCATGCTCTCCCTCTCAAATAAATAAATGCATCTTAAAAAATGCATAAGCATAGGTAATGTTTTTGAAAACGATTTTTCATATCAGCCCTTATAGATCTATCTCATTATTTTTACTTTACTCATTTTTTTTTAAGATTTTATTTATTTATTTGTCAGAGAGAGAAAGTGTGTGCACAAATGGAGGGAGCAGCAGGCAGAGGGAGAAGCAGGCTCCCCACTGAGCAGGGAGCCTGACTCAGGGCTCAATCCCAGGACCTCAGGATCACGACCCAAGTCAAGGCACTTAACTGACTGAGCCACCCAGGTGTCCCCCCCTCATTGTTTTTAAAAAGTGCCCAATAATCAACTGTAGAATTCAACTTATTCAACCTACCACCTAATTATGGAAACTTACAAGGTCTTCTGTTTGGGGACATCACTGTCATGAGTTTTCTGCACACGTTTGGCTGACTTCTGTAAGTATATTTATGGAGTACCACTACCAAGTGAGATCACTGAGTCGAAGTGTGTATGATGTTTAATTTGCATAGCCACAACCAACATGCACTCAGTAAAAGCTAAACCAGCCACCTTTCCTCTGATCCCACACTCAGTAGCACCCGAGATTAACGGGTTTTTAAATGTCTGTCCATGTTTTATCAAACTGAGACGCAAAAAGAATTTTTCTTTAAGTATTTAGGTCAAGCATTTCATAGATTAGTATATAATGATTCCTTGTCCATTAATCCCCATTCTTCCCTGTATCCATGTTTCTATTATATTCATATACATATATATAAAACAAAAGTTTACAGTCAGACACAGGCTAGACAGTCAGTAACGCACGAATAGGACTCTATACAGTTCAAGAAGTTGAGGATACTTGGTCTAACACTAAAGAGGGAGTCTTACTGTTTCAGAGCCCACTCAATGTATTTTTTTTCTTTCTGTCTTTTTTTTTAAAAGATGTTATTTATGTATTTGGCAGAGAGAGAACACAAGCAGGGGGAGCGACAGAGGGAGAGGGAGAAGCAGGCTCTCCACTGAGCAGGGAGCCGATTTGGGGCTCGATCCCAGCACCCTGGGATCATGACCTGAACCAAAGTTAGACGCTTAACTGACTGAGCCACCAGGCACCCGTCTTTTTTTTTTTTTAACTCATTTGTACATCATTGCTTCTTCTTTTTTTGAATTGAAGAATTCCTTAATTGGTCCTTTGTTGGCTTAAAGTATTGCAAATATTTTCTCCAGTGTCTTATTTGCCTTTTTATTATCAAAATATCTGATGCAATCCATGTATCAATCTTTTCATTCCTAGCATCTGGATTTTCTTCCTCCTACATGGAAAGACCACCATCATTTAAGGGGCCTTGTCACAGACGAATTAAAATAGGCGGTAAGCAGCCATGAAGCTATTTACCCGTCCCACCCTCAAGTCAAAGGGGGATCTCCAGTTTCAAATGGAAATAACATTGTCAAAAAAAATTAAACTCCACATCGTATACTTGAGAAGTTTCTTGGCGATCTTGAAATAAAACAGAACCCCGGTTAAACTTCAAAAAACTGTATCTCGGGTCTCTATTTACAAGCCCATCCCCAGCTGCTCAGAAAAGCCCAGGTGGGAAAAACCTCCCATTGTTTGGAATTTGAAATAACTCCGCTCAGAAGCAAAGTCTCTGAACAGCGGGTTCTGCTGTGTCACTGCCCATTGTGAGCTCGTGAATCACTGCCTTTCATGAGACTGTTTCTCTGGAAGCTTGCAGAGGAGGTCCGCTCTCGCCCATCACAGCTTCGCATCACGCTCTTCGTCTCGTCTGTCCTCATCATCCTGGAGTCTTGTCTGGCATTTCTTTTTCTTTTTTTTTTTTTTTAAGATTTTATTTATTTAATTGACAGAGAAAGAACGATCACAAGTAGGCAGAGAGGCAGGCAGAGAGAGAGAGGAAGAAGCGGGCTCCCCACTGAGCAGAGAGCCTGATACGGGGCTCGATCCCAGGACACTGAGATCATGACCAGAGCTGAAGGCAGAGTCTTTAACCCATTGAGCCACCCAGGCGCCCCTTGTCTGACATT